CAACCATACACCGAAATATCAACCACACACCGAAATATCAGCCACACAACAAAATATCAACCATACACCGAAATATCAACCATACACCGAAATATCAACCACACACCGAAATATCACCCACACAACAAAATATCAACCATACACCGAAATATCAACCACACACCGAAATATCAGCCACACACAAAATATCACCACACAACGAAATATCAACCACACACCGAAATATCAGCCACACACCAAAATATCAACCATACACCGAAATATCAACCACACACCGAAATATCAACCACACAACAAAATATCAACCACACAACAAAATATCAACCACACACCGAAATATCAGCCACACACCAAAATATCAACCATACACCGAAATATCAACCACACACCGAAATATCAACCACACAACAAAATATCAACCACACAACAAAATATCAACCACACAACAAAATATCAACCATACACCGAAATATCAACCACACACCGAAATATCAACCATACAACAAAATATCAACCATACAACAAAATATCAACCACACAACAAAATATCAACCATACATCGAAATATCAGCCACACAACAAAATATCAACCACACACCGAAATATCAACCACACACCGAAATATCAGCCACACACCAAAATATCAACCACACACCAAAATATCAACCACACACCGAATTATCAGCCACACACCAAAATATCAACCACACACCGAAATATCAGCCACACACCAAAATATCAACCACACAACGAAATATCAACCATACACTGAAATATCAACCACACAAAATATCAACCATACATCGAAATATCAGCCACACAACAAAATATCAACAATACACCGAAATATCAACCACACACCGAAATATCAGCCACACAACAAAATATCAACCATACACCGAAATATCAACCACACAAAAATCACACACATGAAAATCAACCATACACCAAAATATCAACCATACACCGAAATATCAACCATACATCGAAATATCAGCCACACAACAAAATATCAACCATACACCGAAATATCAACCATACACCGAAATATCAACCACACAACAAAATATCACACACATATCACCACACCGAAATATCAGCCACACAACAAAATATCAACACACAACAAAATATCAACCATACACGAAAATCAGCCACACAACATATCAGCCACACCAAAATACACAACACGAAATATCAACCACACAACAAAATATCAACCACACAACGAAATATCAACCACAAACAAAATATCAACCAAACAACGAAATATCAACCAAACAATGAAATATCAACCACAAAACAAAATATCAACCAAACACCGAAATATCAACAAACCACAAAATATCGACCAACACACCGAAATATCAACCACACAACGAAATATCAACCAAACAACAAAATATCGACCAACACACCGAAATATCAACCAACACACCGAAATATCGACCATACACCGAAATATCGACCACACACTGAAATATCAACAAACAACAAAATATCAACCACACACCAAAATATCAACCAACACTCCTTTTCTGTTTCTTTTGATCCATTCATCATGAAATGTATATACAATGTAAACATCAACAGGTATTTTCAAATTATGTCAGAAACTGAAAATATGAGGTTTTGTTCTGACAGCAGTGATATGCTCGGTATGCTAGCTATGTAGATAAGAATTCAGACTTCATGCCATGTAGTACAGCAATTAAAAAAGTCACAAGATAAATATCAATATTTTTATTATTTGAAACCATTTTTAAAAAACCTTTTACAGTAACATTCAGTGTATCTAGGACAGTTTTCCTTTGGGCCAGTGGGGGCGACAAAACCTTACAGCCTTTTTACACTGAGTGAGTTTTCACAGCTCAAAGCTGTGGGAGCTCATGGATGGTTTTCTTCTTTTAATCCTCGGAGGTTCGAGCTGAGGCAGAGCCCTGAACTGCTCCACACGGGGTGATGAAGTATTTTAGCAGAATGGGCCGTTACCCACAGTCGCACTGACTCAAAGGAGAACGGCACCGTTGCCGATAATCAATAAGTGAATAAGTTGTATCAGCCCCACCATGTAGCCTAAATATTATGAAATAATCTTAAAATAACCTTCTTACAGATATAATAAAATCATCCACAGAAACTGATATTCTTTGCTTTGTGAAAAACCAAAATAATTTTCTTTTATTGACTGCCTGCATCTGGAGCTGTGATTGATCAGATTGATTACCGCACACTGTGATCGGAATGATTTGCACATTGCTATATCACGAAAACGATTAATAAATGATTATATTGTGCAGCCCTATCACACACGTCCCTATTACTGATGAGTCTCGTGTAGGGTGGGGTTTAGTGAGGGAGATTTTTGGAAGTGCCTGATTAATATGCATCATTATGGGGGGGGACTGGGGTGTAGAGGGACGGGGGGCCCTAGAATTAGAACTGTGCCCGTGTACCTTCAGCGACTTTCCTTTTCTTTCTGAAACTGCATGTAGTCGTTCAGAGAGCAGCGGCGGGAGCTCTCAGAGCACAGTGGTTTTGTATTCAGTGTAGCTAGTCAGCGTTTCTGGGGGTAAACGGCGTCACGGTGGGCCGCGTTTGTACATTTTTGTGTAATTGTCTTTATAAGTAAACGGAAATTGAACTTCAGTGCTTCCACGTTTCCTCGGTTTTCAGGAACTGGCCTCATTTTAAGGTTATTTATTCAGAAAGAGAAACGCTTTCGCTGCTCGTATCACTCGTTTATTTATGGAGAGCTGAATCCGTCACGATAACGAACCGTCATGAGGTTATTAAACCAAATGTAACGTCGCCGCTCGCTACAGAAACACCTGGAAACACAACACGTGCTGGATCTGGTCTTGTGTCACTCAGTAAGGGCTCTGAGGCTGTTAGTTTTGCTTTGTTTTGGGTTTGATTTCAGTTGAAAGAGCTCAGATTTAAGTCCTTTGAAGTCTCCGTGTCCGTGTGGTTGTCCTTTGCGCCTCTTCACTGTGGACGAGTGTTGAATAGTTAGGCCTGTGGTCTTTCAGAGTGAATTAAAACCCGGCTGTGGAGCAGGTGCCAGTGGAACGGCTTGCTACCAAACCTTTGAACCTGAAAAGTAATTTATTTTTACTTTGTTTTTTTGTAACCAATAAAACTGTACTAAGACAGTGATGACGTGTCATGTGGTCTTTTTTGTTGTTGTGTTTTGCTGTTGATTAAAAGCCCATAAAACAAAGCAGACACTGTATTCAATTACTTTACTGTCTGCAATTTCATTTTAGCACTTTGACTTTTTTTTAATGTAATTTACCGAAATGTGCTCTGATGATGTCAAAATCTGTACTCATATGAACAAAGGCTAAAGATGGCGCTAAAGATCACTGTATGCTGGTTAGAGTGACTGTGTTGGGAGATCGCCCTTTATGCCGGTAACTTTCGGGTCGCTTATTGTAGATGAACAACGGAGCATTTATTAAAGTGTCTCGCTGAAGCTGGACCACACAAAATTTGGGCACCCTGGTCAAATTCCACATTTTTTCACATCTGAAACTGAAGAAAAATTACACACTTCTTTTCATCTGAGGTGAAAATCAGCAGACTTACTTTAAAATACAAGTATTAATACTTTTAGTAAGTAAACTTAAAGCCCCCTTGAGGTATTGAAAGTATTACAGGACCCTGATACTTTTCTACACGTGTCTGTAAATCTGACACTTGAATACTTAAGGCCTTTAACCCTCTGTGGTCTGAGAGCATCTTCTCGATTTGTTCATCTCTTAAACTCTCCTTTAAAGACTCTTCATATATCATGAGCCTCATATGTTTTATATCTAAATGCTCCGTTATCTTCATCACTACTTTCCAAACCCGCTGCAGCAGCTTCAGCAGCTGTAAACTCTCTGCACGCCGTTTCACATGAGTCTCTGATGTGGACTGAATGAAGAATGAAGGGTTTCTGGCGTGATGGTCAGTCCTTAGTGATTTCCTGAGTGTCCATTGGTCAGTTTCACACAGAATGTAGACGGACACACGAATCCACCAGTTCCACATGGTGAGAGGCAGATGACGTGTATCTCAGCCCCTCTTCATAGGCTCATAACTCCGGATGTGAGTCTCGTATGATCTCGTGATAAGATGGAATGGAAAGGGCGACTCTACAGATTCAGGAAGTGTTTGAACTGGATTTCTGAGCTGGATCATCACAAAGATACACACACAGAGACAGAAACATGGTGCAGGTGAGTTTGTGGACCCCAGAGGGTTAAGACTTTCAGGATCCTGCAGAACATTACAAATGAGATCACAGAGGCTCTCGTGTGACTACAATGTGAAACATAATATAAATTTAATGAAGCGACATTGTACAGCTGGACTGGCCTCACTGACCCTCTAGGATCAAAACGACAGCTAAACTGAGGTTTCATTCCCAACTCCAGCATAATGTTGTTCCTGAGACTGAGATCACTTCAAAAGGGTAAAGCAGCACTACAGCAGACTCTTATAAGCACATGAAGTCAATAAACGCTGAACCGCAGGTTGAATTAGACGAGCTTGCGCTTCAGAGCGGCCTGCGAAATCCATTTGTGGCCAAAAGCGAAAGCCAAAGAATCTGCTCTGCAATACTGTTTACAGTCTTTACTGAGTTAATGAGGTTCCCAAAAACCCCTCTCAACATGGATCACTGAACAAATACATCATATCACACAGAACATTTCAGAAACAGCTACATCTGTCCAGCACAGTGACCACACCTGTAAAAATGATTTATCTGTCTGAAGGTGCTGACTCACCTGTGGTCATTCTGGAACATCAAGACTGATGGTAATTCATTCCATTATGATTAGTTATAAATCTTTAAAAGAGTCTGAGACGTGAGCTAATTTTTAAGCTGAAATAAAATTTTCAGGCTATTTTTTAACATGAAAGCTCAGTGTTGATGTGTATTCATAAAATCTGATAGGAACTTTATTTGAAAACTTATTTCAGAGACATTTAGTAATGAGTCTTTCATGTCAAACTTCCAACACATTTTATTTTAGACAGACAACAATACAAAAACATATTTAAACTGCAGGGGTCACCGACACTGTGATGGTCACTTCATCCTGTAGTCCTCAGGCCTGCAGAGAGAAAACAGAGACAAGCTTTGGTAACACTTTATCTTTCATCTTTGGAGATGATCAATAAACCTCTACTGTTTCATTTAAAAAGCTCTATAATGTTCATATGATCCACACAGTCACTCTGACAGACTGTAATACACTACAGGAAGCGTAGGGGGCGATATGGCTTCTACTGTTTCATTTAAAAAGCGCTCTATAATGTTCATATGATCCACACAGTCACTCTGACAGACTGTAATACACTACAGGAAGTGTAGGGGGCGATATGGCTTCTACTGTTTCGTTTAAAAAGCTCTATAATGTTCATATGATCCACACAGTCACTCTGACAGACTGTAATACACTACAGGAAGTGTAGGGGGCGATATGACTTCTACTGTTTCATTTAAAAAGCTCTATAATGTTCATATGATCCACACAGAATCTGTTACCATGACAACAGTCTCGCCGTTCCAACAACTCCTATCAGATGCCAGTGTAAGAATGAAGGTAGGGTCACACATTCGATATGCAGTGTCCACTGAATGACCACAACACACCATAACCTTTCTGCTTCTTTCTCAGATAAGAGCCTGCGTTCTCTCCACCAGCAGCCACTCACTCTTATAAAAGATTGAATTATTATTATTATTATTATTATTATTATTATTATTATTCTGTGTTAGAAATCCTTTCAGTACAGAAATCCGTTCTATTCGCTTCTCTCTGCTACTTTTGAAACAGTCAGTGTTTTGCATTGTTTTTAAACACAAACCAAAAGCAAAGTCCTTTAAGTGCTTTTGGTCAGTAAACACATCAGCACAGTGCTGCTGGACTGTTGTTGACAATCTGCACAAACAGCTGAGATCAATCTGATCAATGAGAACAATCTGAATCAATCTGAAGCTCGTCTCAGTGCCAGTCCAGCCCCCAAACAGCCAGAGAGTCTCTGAGCTGCTGATTCTCCTTTAATAACGATCAGCATCATTTCAGAAACTCATCCAGACTGTAAAGTAAGTGAATGTAAATTTTACACACACTTTACATCTTTAGATAAACACTACAGTGAAGCTGGAAGATTCATCGTTTTACATCAAAATCGCAATTTAAGACAGTTTTTAAACACCTCAGTGTCGCTGCTGGACTGAGAATAGTCCACCAACCAAAAATATCCAGCCAACAGCGTCCTGTGGGCAGCGTCCTGTGACCACTGATGAAGGACTAGAGGATGACCAACACAAACTGTGCAGCAGCAGATGAGCTATCGTCTCTGACTTTACATCTACAAGGTGGACTGACAAGGTAGGAGTGTTTAATAGAGTGGACAATGAGTGGACACAGTGTTTAAAAACTCCAGCAGCACTGCTGTGTCTGATCCACTCGTACCAGCACAACACACACTAACACACTACCACCACCACGTCAGTGTTACTGCAGTGCTGAGAATGACCCACCACTAAATGAGAAATATTAGCTATGACCAGATTTAGGATCATCTCACTTGACAAGATACCAGATGGAGCCATTTTATGAGCAGCAGAGCTTCCTGTGAACGCTCTGTGTGGTGGAGCTGAACTTCAGAGATGTTTTCCCTCCTTAGATGACTGGAGGACAGTGAGGCAGAGCCGAGCGGCTGTATCTGTGCTGGAGGTTCTGCAGATACACAGAGTAACGCTACTGAACCAGCATCACACAGTAAAGCCTCCTGGAGAAAATCGGACCCTTTCCTGGCCTCCGTATCTGTAACTCCATCAGACTGAATCAGTAACAGCTCTGCTTACAGAGCTCTGATTAAATCAGACCTGTGTCCAGGACCGACCTCAGAGCCTTCTGAGTGACGAGTGAGCTGAGGGTTGCGTTCTTTGGTTCGGTTCCAGCCGTAGTTCCCTGTGACCGAGTAACTCGGGCTCTTTCCCGACGTTCCTAATGAGCCGCTCTCCACTCAGAGCCACATAAACACCCAGCAGGACACGTTTATGGCTTTTTATTTCACCTCAGGATCTGATTTCGACTTCATTACAGCAGTGCTGCAGCCACAGTGGTGGGAGGGGGGTTGGGGGTAGTTGGGGGGAGTTTTGGGGGATTGACTCCTTCACTGGTCAGCAGTAAAGCAGCAGCAGGCCTGGGGAAATCCTCCGTCATCTTCTTTTGTCAGATTTAATTATAAGAGCGACGCTGAACATCTCATTATCTCATTAACGTCTCACTTCCCTCCACTGTTTTAATTACACGCCCCACAGCGCTCAGAGCGAGAGAGCGACCGCCGCCCGACACCACCAGAGAACAACACCACACCTTAAAGACCCTCAGCGCTCCACTGCGGCCCCCCGGACTGAACTCTCCATCTGAGCTCGCTCTCCAACAGCTTCACACACTCAGAGTTAGGAGGGTGAAACAGAGCATTGTGGGAGTTATCTGAATTCTCTGACAGCAAACTAACGAAAACTAACCAAACAAACAAACTGAAACTAACCAAACAAACAAACAAACTGAAACTAACCAAACAAACAAACAAACTGAAACTAACCAAACAAACAAACAAACAAACTGAAACTAACCAAACAAACAAACTGAAACTAACCAAACAAACAACTAAACAAAACAAACTGAAACTAACCAAACAAACAAACCAACTGAAACTAACCAAACAAACAAACTGAAACTAACCAAACAAACAAACAAACTGAAACTAACCAAACAAACAAACAAACTGAAACTAACCAAACAAACAAACTGAAATTAACCAAACAAACCAACTGAAACTAACCAAACAAACAAACTGAAACTAACCAAACAAACAAACAAACAAACTGAAACTAACCAAACAAACAAACTGAAACTAACCAAACAAACAAACAAACTGAAACTAACCAAACAAACCAACTGAAACTAACCAAACAAACAAACCAACTGAAACTAACCAAACTAACTGACTGAAACTAACCAAACAAACCAACCAACTGAAACTAACCAAACAAACCAACCAACCAACTGAAACTAACCAAACAAACCAACCAACCAACTGAAACTAACCAAACAAACCAACCAACCAACTGAAACTAACCAAACAAACCAAACAACCAACTGAAACTAATCAAATTAATTAGAGCTGCAGACCAGAATGACTGGAGTCCGACACCTGCTTCACCTCAGAGTTCAGAGTCAGTCCTGTCAGCTACACAGTCACGTACGTTACAGTACGTTAAATATTTCAATGTTTTTACATAATCATAACTTAAATGTATATTTTTACATAATGAATCACATTTCCATTCAGTATGAACAGGTTCCAGTCTGCACTGCTGACTCTTCTGCTTACGGACACTACCGGACGTTTACAATCTGCACTCAGCCTGATGGACAGACACTAAAATTAAGTACGTTTGAATCCTCAGATGTTTAGCTTCACTCTGAAGACTCTGAGACTGAATCTGACCGCTTCCTGCATACTGTCGCGTGTCTTACTCTTAATCCACGAATCCCAGACGCAATGAAAAAATTATTACCAGAAATTACAGGCAGCACTCAGAGGAACGTGTGTCATAAATATTTAAAGGTGTAAATTGAATGTTCTCTGGTTTGGACTCTGAGCTCCCGATGGCATTACCGCACTGACTGCATCGTTACATCACTCCTACCTTCAGGAGTCGGAACGATGGGTGGCCAGCAGAAGAAACGTCAGAACATCGTTTTCAAAGCAGTTCACTATTAACTTCAACACGACTCTCTGTTCACGACTCTCTAAATGCGAGTCTCCAAACGCGACTCCCTAAACGTGACTCTCTGAACGGATCTCCTCAAACGCGACTCTCTGAACGCAACTCCCCAAAAACAACTCTCCAAACACGACTCTCTGTTCATGACTCTCTGAATGCAACTCCTCGAACACGACTCTCCGCGAACACGACTCTCCCCGAACACGACTGTGTCTGAAAATAATGCACTGAACGCAACTCCACGAACACAACCCCTAAAAGCAACTACCCAAACACGACTCTCTAAATGTGACTCTCCAAACGTGACTCCCTAATAATGAGTCTCTAAACAAATTTCCTCAAACATGACTCTGAGCGCGATTTCCCGAACGCAACTCTCTGAACGCAATTACCCAAACACGGATCTCTGGATGTGATTCTCTGAACGCGACTCCTCCAACGCGTCTCCTCCAACGCCACTCCTCCAACGCCACTCCTCCAACGCCACTCCTCCAATGCGACTCCAAACAACTAGAACAGCTGGTGAAGATGCCGACGACAGATCCAGAATGTTCTGGAGGAGTAGCTGAAGATAATGAAAGGCCCACAGCTCTCCTCCAGTTCAGAATCAGGTTCACGTCTCTCTGAGAGCTCAGAAGAATGAAGAACGGCAAAAATGAATTGGACTGTCAGGACTGGATCACAGTGGCCTGTAAAACACGGTTCCACCGTTTTGCATTATGAATTCAGACTCATTCTCCGTGAAAACGAAAGCAGCGTTTCGTCTGGCCTGAAAATCAAAGCCTATCTGCTGCTGCTACTTCAGTCCACCTGCCCTTCAATTTAACAGAGCAACGACAGCAAAGGGAGCAACATGATATTCACACAACATCCGACTCACACCGAGAACATCTCAGTCTCTCAGAGTGACCCCCGCCAGGAACTCGTCTTCAGTTTAACTAACGAGGCTCCTTCACTGCGCTGAGAGGGCGGCTTCAAAGTGGTCTAGCTCTGTGACGGTCAGGTCATCACAGTGTTTCTGAGTGAGAGCTTTTTATATAAATGGAAAAATGTTTTGCTCACTGTTTTTGAGTGGCCGTCTTCTATTTTGTGGAGCACTCCAGGCGCCCTGAGCTGACAAAGGTCACTTCAAAATCATCAGACAGTATCATGACACTGCAACATCTGGACAACACTGCAATGCCCTGACTACACTATGACATGTCAACAACACTGCCACATCACATCAACCCCACCCAATGATGTAACACATGCATCATCCTGACAACACTGCAACACCCCAACATCCTGACAACACTGTGACACACTGACACTGCAACGTTTTCCTGACTACACTGCAACACCACATCCTGACATCCCAACACGTCACTCTTGCCAACATCACAATACCACAACCCGACACCCCAACAATGCGACATCCCAGACAAACACCGTGACACCCCGACATCCCCGTCAACACTGGAGTACCCTGACAACACCACGATAAAACCACAATAGTGCAACAACACCATGACACCTTGATATCCTGTCAACACTGCCACACTCTGACAACACCCCAACAACATGACATCCAAAAACCACCCTAACGCTAACGCCAACCGCAACACAAACTCTGACACCACTGCAACATTCTGACAACACTGCCACCAGGCCAGATCAGTTCTGGTATAAACCTACTGTCAGCCTACACTGTGCTGCTTGACATTTTATATTCAGTGAGACAGAGTGAGCCGCAGGCAGCAGGTAGCCACATTCTTTTTTTTTTTAGTGTTTCTAGATTAAATATTCATAGCTGTGAATAGGGCTGGGCGATTAATCGAAAAAGTAATCAAAGTCGACATTCAGAACCTCTAACCAATGTGATCTTGCCCATGTCGGTTATTTTTAATTTTTTTTTAATTCTGTTAATCCTTTCCCAACTCTGTGTTCATGTACTCTCTCCTACAAAACTTACTACCGCGTGTGTCGTCACGTGACTCCGCCACGTCCACTGTGCGACACGGAAGCTAAGGCTGCGTTCACACAGCAGGTAAAAGTGGCCCAAATCTGATTTTCTCACTAAATCCATTTTTTTGTTTGTCTGTTCAGATTATCTCTAAATGTGATCTGAATCATCAGTCTGAACAGATCAGCTCCTAAACTGAGCCTGCATGCGCTAAAGATCAGAGCGTCGCGCTGCTTCACGGCTCATCCAGAGGTAAACAATCACGACCGCCAACGAGCGCCAGTCACTCCCGGAGGATCAGCTTCATCTTCACCAGCATCACAGGAGCCATCATGAAGCTTCACTGACTGACAGCTGGGCTCATCACCCAGAATGTGTTCCAGCTGTAAAAAGGGCGCGGTCACTTCTTTGGTTCGTGTCCTCGGATTCTTTAAATTCTGCTTTCAGACTTTTAACTGTTCTTTGACGCTGCAGCCTCGTTCTCCTGCAGCCGCGTTCGGACACTTCTTTAGAAATCTCTTCAAACACGGAGGGTTCTGGATAAATCTCTTAATTTTAGTACAGAAACATCAGACCAAATGTTTTGAGTCTCAGCAGCGCGAAATTATGACGAATGTCGAGTTGGATTGACGTAAAAGTCGTGTGAATTCCGATCTGGCTGCTGAGACGATTTACATTAAGATATGCAGAACATATTTACAGTACAAATCTTGTCAGTGAACTATGAGGACAAAAAAACAAACAAAAAAAACAAAACAAAAACAAAATAATTGTTCATTAATCGTAATCGAGGTAAAACATTTGATTAATCGTGATACTGATTTGAGGTCATATCGCCCAGCACTAGTTGTGAATGTCTTCCTCTGTGTTCCGGTGCTGGTCTCACCCCCGAAACCTCTCAGCGTTGAAAAAGCACCCTAAGCAAAAGTGATGTCTTCATCAGCCGTCTGACATGTTTTGGAGAAGAAACTCAGGCTGTGAGTCCTAATAAATAAGAAAGTGAGGTGTGATTTATTGAAAGAGCATCACATTGCTCTGCTTCAGCATTTAAGGTCCAGAACTTCTGGAAGCTCCTGATGCATGGGGCTCATAAACCACTGGCGGTTCTCTGCTTAACGGAGGACAGTACGGCGGGACCGGGAGTGCTTGTGGAACATTAAACAGCGTTCCCGCAGCGCTGGGACCGTACGGACTCACTCTTACGCTGCTTTTCCATCATACAGCGACGGGCTGGATTTATTTCAGATCTTTTCAGAGCTAACAGGAAACTACCGTAAAACTCACTGACCCTGTTCGACCCAGCTCTGTGCTGTGAGCTTCTACAAGGCCCAGCTGCAGTAACGCTCACTGGCTGCATACGGTCTTCAGCGTGGTTTAGATGCTGGGTGTGAAGAATCCTCAGAGAACATGTAAAGAAAATATGGAGCTGTGGATACAATCACAGAGCAAATCAAACCGTATCTCCAAACTCAAAGCTAACTTTCAAAAGGCAGCAGGTTTTGATCATCACGAGTAATTACAAGGGAATTCCATCAGTTTTCCAGAGCGGTTCACAGTGGTGGTGATAGGAACCAGACGTCCACCTCTAAAAGCTCCCTCACAGAAAGTTCCTACATGAAATGGTTATGAATTCACTGCCTGATGACTGAGACACTGTTTTATGATAGTTTTGAGAAGATTTCAGCCTCAAAATCCATTCATGGTGGAGGGATACATAATATGCAGGGCGCTGTGAGGCAAAATAGTCCCCAAAGAAAACTAATTTTTTTCAGGTTTTCCAATATTTTACCACCATCGACATAGTACATAATTACCCCAGATTACACTTGCCCATCACCCCTATATACTTGGTGGACATCCTATTCCAAAACTACAGTTACCCTCCCCTTTGCGGCTCTAACAGCCTCCACTCTTCTGGGAAGCTACAAGATGTTGGAGAGTGTCTGTGGGAATGTGTGTCCATTCAGTCAAAAGAGCATTTGTGAGGTCAGACACTGATGTTGGACGAGAGGGCCTGGCTCGACATTCCAGTTCATCCCAAAAGTGTTCAGTGGGGTTGAAGTCAGGGCTCTGTGTGGCCACTGGAGTTCCTCCACACCAAACTGGTCACTCCATGTCTTTATGGAGCTGCTTTGTGCTCAGGGGCTCAGTCATGCTGGAACAGGAAAGGCTCTTCCCCAAACTGCTGACACAAAGCTGGAAGCAGATAACTGTGTAAAATGTCTTTGTGCTGCAGCATCAACATCACCCTTCACTGGAACTGAGGGGCCTGAAAAACAGCCCCTGCCCATCATCCCTCCTCCACCAAACTCTACTGCTGGCACTCTGCATTCCAGTAGGTAACGTTCTCCTGACATCCACCAAACCCAGATTCATCATCAGACTGACAGAGAGAGAAGCTGATTCATCACTCAGAGAACACGGTTCCACTGATCCAGAGTCCAGTGGTGGCGCTTTTACACCCCTCCAGCCGACACTTGGCATTGCGCATAGTGATCTTAGGCTTGTGTGCAGCTGCTCAGCCATGAAACCCATTTCAAGAAGCTCCAGATGCTCAGCTCTTCTGTTGTTGCTTCCAGGGGCAGTTTGGAACTGTGTAGTGAGTGATTGGGGATTTTAAGAGCTACATGGGAGCCCCTGCTCTGTGAGTCTGTATGGTCTACCGCTTCATGGCTGAGACGTTGTAGCTCCTAGGTGCGCTTACAGTTGATGTAGCAGGGCAAAAATTTCACAAACTGCCCTGTGGCAAATGTGGCATCCTATGACAGAGCCATGTTTAAAGTCACTGAGCTCTTTAATGCGACCCTCCACTGCCAGTGTTTGTCTGTGGAGACTGCATGACTACGTGCTTTGTTTTATACTCTAGTTAGCAGTGGGCGTGTCTGAAGCACATATTTTCGGCCATGTAGAGTGTTTTTAGGGGTTTTTGCACGTCTAGAGTAACATACAGCGCTAAATAACTGAACACTATAAAAAAAGAAAAATGTTGGACTGCTCTTCCTCGAATCAACTGATCATGAAGAAAATTGGCGTGTCCATATTACTTCACTGTCCAGCTGTGACTGTGAGGACCGTCCTCTAGAGCAACCCCTCCAAATCCCTCCGTAACTGAGTGACCTCAGAGTGAGTCATCGCTCATAAATCAGCGGGAGAGCTGCAGTACGGGAATTAGAGAGTGACCCGCTGCAGAAAGTCCAGCTTCACAGAGTGGTCACTCAGGCTGGAGCTTTACCTCCCTCATCTGCAGCACACCTGAGCTACACCCTACAGACTCCACTTGAAAGCTGAAAGATAAAGACAAAGAGAGGGAGGATGATAGAGAGAGAGGGAGAGAGAGAGGAGAGGACTCACGGGGTCCAAAGCTGGGGGAAGCTGTCTCGCTCCTCCTGCGTGTATTCATTCAGTTTACGGGGAATCTGGCGAGGCTGAGGAAGCTCCTCCGTCAAATTCAGCATGATATCTTCTGGAAGAACCTGCAACAGGATAAATCACACACACAGAAATTACTGGTGTGTGTATGGATGCTTTTCTAAACTGTCAGAGCTGTAAACACATTTGGGACTTAAAACTGACTTCAGACTGAAGTCCTGCTTTGAGTGACTCCATTTTACTTCTTTACTGTAATTTTTATCTCTGGCTTCTTTGGGCGTAACAGCTCCATTTTGCTCGCCAAACAAGTGCTGAGCATCGCTCATTAATATGAATGATCTCATTAACACGTTCATTTTGACTGGCTGCTGATCTTACATCATCAGGGAAGAGGTGCAGCCGCTGCATCATCGTCCTCCGCATGAGGTTTTTGGGAAGCATCCCGTACACGGCCAGTTTAATTATCTGAGAGAGAGAGAGGGAGAGGGAGAGAGAGAGAGAGAGAGAAGAAAAGGTCAAGTCTTACACAACCTCACAGCAGGACAGAAATCTGGTCACTGTCTGGGTCTCCAAGGGCGACCAGTGGAGCTCACTGTAATGAAATTTAACACTAGCAGCACTATTACACCTTCTGTCCAGGCATTAGATGGGGGAAGGGGGGAAGGGGGGAAGGGGGGGGTGGCGTTAAAGTGACAGGTAAGTTAAAATAATACATTTCTCACAGTCTGCCTCCTTCCCCAAATACAGATGAACAGCCCCACCCCCAAACAAATACAGCCCCTCCCCTCCCTTTAGGGTTCCCTCCAAAGTCCCACCCCCAAACAACTACAGCTCCTCCCCTCCCTTTAGGGTTCCCTCCAAAGTCCTGCCCCCAAACAAATACAGCCCCTCCCTTTAGGGTTCCCCCCAAAGACCCACCTCCAAAGTCCCACCCCCAAACAAATACAGCCCCTCCCCTCCCTTTAGGGTTCCCTCCAAAGTCCCACCCCCAAACAACTACAGCTCCTCCCCTCCCTTTAGGGTACCCTGCAAAGTCCCACCCCCAAACAAATACAGCCCCTCCCTTTAGTGTTCCCTCCAAAGTCCTACCCCAAACAAATACAGCCCCTCCCTTCAGGGTTGCCTCCAAAGCCCCGCCCCCAAACAACTACAGTCCCTCCCTTTAGGGTACCCTGCAAAGTCCCACCCCCAAACAAATACAGCCCCTCCCTTTCAGGGTTCCCTCCAAGGTCCCCAAACAAATATAGCCCCACAATTTAGCTATTCCACGTACAGCAGTTTGCCCCTCCCACATCACTGAAGGCCTGGATCAGTGTTTGTACCGTTTTCTCTGTAAACACGGTCAGACAGCTCCTGCTGCGCTGGCTGTAAGGCAGGCGACACTGGGAGCTGTTGTTATTCTACAGAAGGCGCCTCATTACATGCAGCACCTGGACAGGTGTAATATGTCTGAGAGCAGAAAGGCATCAGTGAAGATGCTCCGCTGCTGCTTTGATAAGAGGGGGCTGTTTGTGCTCCGAGATAACACTTCAGAAACCCCCCCCACCTCTCAGACACAACACAATCTCGAGCCGAAGCGAAGGCAGAGCTGCAAAACAAGCTCTACTACAAACGCAGAGAAGATTCCAGTTATAAAGCTGCACTTTCCCAAACCGGAACATTGTCTTTCGGAATTGCATACATGCCGCTGAAATTGCAGCGCTGATACGAGCCTGAGAACATCAGCTAAAAAAAATCTACGACATATTCATCGCAGGCATAACGACCTGCTCCCAGTTCTAACAGATAAGCGGAGCTGAAGCCAAGGTCATTAAAACCTCCAGGGCAACAGGCCAAGTCTGTTAGAATCAGAAAAATAATAAAGATAATCAGGTTCACATCAATCACCATCATCACGGGAAGAACCTGAGGCCACGGTGCCCCCCTCTGGCACCCAGGAGAACTACCAGGGCCTGTGGGTACGTTTCATTTCTGTAGGATGCATTCTCATCCATATATCGCTGCTGTCGGAGGAAAACCTTAAAAATGGAGATATGTCGCTTTTCAGTTTTTGACATAATCTGAAAATGCCTGTTGCCCTTTATATTGTGTGTAAATTTAATGAAGAATGGACCAAAAGAAACGACCCAAAATGACTTGGAAAGAATTCTGGTTCCATTGACTTACATTAAAAGTAAAGTAGGTTTTTTTCTTCTCCTGTAAAGTTACCATTTTGGAGATACGAGATTTTCTTCAGACAACAGCGAAATTCTATCTTGAAATTCAATATATATATGTATATATATATATATATATATATATATATATATATATATATATATATATATATATATATATATAAAATGTATATACATATTACTGCTGTTGGCACAAAACCTTGTAACTTTATAGAAGAAAAAACCCTACTTTACTTTTAATGTAAGTCAGTGGAACCAGAATTCTTTCCAAGTCATTTTGGGTCGTTTCTTTTGGTCCATTCTTCATGAAATTTACACACAATATAAAGGGCAACAGGCATTTTCAGATTATGTCAGAAACGGAAAAACTCTCCAAAAATGGAGATACAAGGTGTTGTCCTGACAGCAATGTGTTTACATACAATATATATATTAAATGTGCATATATGTGCATATATATATATATACACACACACACACCACACACACACACACTTCAGCTTTCATTTAAAAGGACTTTTAAACTTGAGATTTTTTGTAAGTGGTGACATTTGAAAGGTTTAGCGTGAGATGACTCTCACAGTCAGTGTGCTTCAGTTTTCTTTATCAGTAAAGCATTTCAGAATCTTTCAAAGACTCTATATCTACCATAACCAGTACTGACCAGTCCTAAAGAAATATATCTGATATATCTTTAATACACTGAGATATATAAGACCGAACTATCACTGCAGAGGGCGGGGGCTGATCTGAGGGTGATGTACTCACAGCGGTGGGGTCTTTCTGGTGCATCTGGGCTGCTGTGAGCTGTTTGAAGCCACCCGGGTATCTGTGAGAGAAAACAGAGGACTGTTCAGCTGTAATGAAGAGTAATATAACAGGCTACAGGCTGGGAAATAATGCAGCGGTTAATTAGGGGCTTACAGGAGAGGAGAGAGCTGCCCAGAGGAGAACTCCATTAAACAGGAGGACACTGAGAGTGGAGTGGATCTGCTTTAGAGCTCTGTGTTCGAAACCATAAACACAGAAACCCTGATACTCTCATACAACACGCCCTACCATCACAGCGTCACTGCTGAACTGGGAATGGTCTGTGGGGGTCCTGTAGTGGCCCCTTTACACGGATGGGTGGGGTGGAGAGGGCTGATACACTGTACACCTGACTGACATACCGATTAGCTGACAAGATCAGCAGATATTGATGATGCACAGATTTATTCACAAGCACATCGCTGACACTTAAGAAACTGAGCTGCTGATTGGAGGCTTACACACCTGTTTAACGTTTTACCTGAGACCTCAGGTGTTGATATTAATTTGAGTTAACTGTATCCTTGATATGTATTAATCCTATGGTAAGACTAATAGATTACCAACATGCATTTCTATCTTCATCCACTAGATGGTTTCCTTCTGCTGAGACCGATGGAAAGTGCAGAACTGCGCCATCTGCTGGGCGCGTTCAATACATTTTGAATTTAAAATCTTTATTCGCCAAGTTCCAGGTGTACAAGGATTGTCTCTTGTTCAGGTGTCAACATACAATTAAAGTAAATAAAATAAATATAGAAAAAGATATACTGCAGAAGTCTGCAGTGTTTTGGCCTGCGAGGACTGGAGCCTTACACGTGTGATGTAGGGGATGTGTTACCCTATTTACAAAGTTTGGTTTTCTTTTGGAGGAATGATTTATATTACAATTATATTATATTTATATTATATTACAATTTACATCATAAACAATAGTTAACGTATCACAAATATTTAAATATGCAATCACATCCTGAAATATTTAGCTTTTTTACATAGAGAATTGACGAAAAATTGTCAGGTAAACAACAGAAACCAAATCCGCACCCAGTGATATGATGTTTATATTACTGAAGACTTTGTGAGTTTCTGATGTTTAACTTTTAATTAATAACAATCATATTCAACAATTCACTGAGTACAAATTACAGTCAGCTAAGCACTGTTTATCTAAAACTACCGGATTAACCCTCACAAGTCGCTGACCACAGCAGCGTGATCAAATCATGCGCCTGATTTAAAACGTCGTAACATAACCAAACAAAAACAAAGCCACGGTGAGCATCGCCAGCAACTTTAGCTGAAAATAGATTTGAAATAATCATATTTACATGTGCATGAAAGTAGAATGGGACGAGGATCAATGAGAAATTTGTCATTTATCTTAATATCTTCGTCATTTTGCTCTAATTAAGGAGAAACAGAAAAAATGTCAATCATTTTTCAAATCCAATTTTATGTGTTTTGTGTGTTTTTTGGGTCCAGTATGTTGATACAGTATGTCAAAAAATAATTGTCGGGTCATATACACACTTAAAAATAACGGTTCTTCAAGGGTTCTTTAGTAAAGAAAACGGTTCTATACAGAACCACGAACACTCAAAGAACCCTGTGCATGATTAAAGGGTTCTTGGCATCATGAAATGGTTCTTCAGATTGATGGAGAATGTGTTGTATGTAGTTCTAAATAGAACCTTTTTGAAAAGGGTTCTATATAGCACCATAAAGGGTTCTTCTACTGTTATGATGTCAAGCCAATAACAATAGAAGAACCCTTTTTGTTGCTATATAGAACCATATACACATTCTCCATCAACCTGAAGAACCATTTCATGATGCAAAGAACCGTTTAATCACACACAGGGTTCTTTGAGTGTTCACGTTTCTATATAGACCTATTTTCTTTACTAAAGAACCCTTGAAGAACCATCATTTTTAAGTGGCGATGTTGTGATGAAAAAAGTGATTCCAAACATCGGCACTGTAAACATTCAAAAGCATGTAAAAACAGCCAAAACAGCTCCAGACTAACAAGGGTTAAATCAAAACCTTTAGAACCTGCACTGACCGCCTGGATCTGTTAGAGAGGGTTTAAAGCTCTGCTGCTGGTTTTTAAAGCTCTAAATGACCTTAAAGCTCCTGAACGTCTGTTTATGACCTCAGATCTGCAGATTCTGACCTTCTGAACTCCTTCAGTAAAACACAGAAAACGTGGAGAGACTCTTTCAGTTATTCTGCTTCTAAACTGTGGAGCTCAGTTCAGCTTTTATTAGACAGTCGAGCTCAGAGCTCACTTTTAATAAACATCTGAAAACGCAGCTCTTTAACTCAGAGCTTCATTAAACTCTGCAGCTCTTTGGTCTTCATCTCTTTAATCTGATCTTAACGTGATTTTAAATTAATACTCATAGTTTCTCCTATTACCAATAAGCTTTATGTAAAGCACTTTGAGCTGCCACCACTCTATAAATAAAAACACAATAACAAACAGTAATAATAATAATAATAATAATAATAATAATGGTTGGGTTGCCATAAATGTCAATGTAATAATAATAATAATAATAATAAGACCCTTTATATCCATCTATCTATCTATCTATCTATCTATCTATTTATGATAATATAAGCCTTAATGTACATATCTTTTATATGCATATACATTTTATAATATTTAAAATCTAAATATTACACTTAAATTATATCAACTGATACTATCAATTATCAGAATTTTCAGCTCCTTAAAATCGGTATCGGTCACAAAACATTCAAATCGGTCAGGCCCTAAAACCTACAAAGTGTTCCTCTATGGGTGTTTCTGATAAAGTGGCCAACAAGTGAAGCTAAAAAGCAGGTGTTTCTGATAAACTGGACACTGAACATAAATACAGAGTGTTTCTTTTACCCCGTGTGAGACGAGTAGACCTTCTGCTCCCATTTGTTTCCTGAGAAAGCGATGTGTCTGGTGTTCATGACCACCACGTGATCCCCAACGTCACCTGGGAGAAAGACAGAACTGTTTAGTTCTGCTGCAGTAAAATACGTTCTCTCAGAATCTGCCTCGGGGTTTTCTGGCGTCGACTCTGACTCGACTCTCGACTTCTGCTGCTGAAATCAATAGTCGACTCCTCAACTCCTCTATATTTTAACCAGTACAGCTGCAGAGTTGGTGATAAAGGGACACAGTAGAGATCAAACCACCCTGAACATAGTTCACTCAGTTTTGAGTATCTACAGATTACAGTGACTATTTACATGCGCTCAATAATCTGATCATAATCAGATTTCTGCAGTTATCTGATTATTCAAATGGTCGTGTAAACAGCACACTCTAAGGTCTAGAAGTCTATACTCACATTATTTGTATCCTGTGGGCTGTGATCCTGATTATTCAGTGTTTTGATGTTTACTTCAGTTAAAATAACACAGGATAGTCTTTAATCACAAACATTATTGATTGATTTGAATATTTTTAATATATTGTGAGGCATTCTGTAATTGCAATACTAGTTTTTTGGCCATATTGCACATATTTTATAAATTAAAAATGCATAATCTGATGTTAATTAAAGCTAAAGTAAAGCTAAAAGCTGTAATGCAGTGTTTACTGTGATGACTCACTCAGTGCATGGTAGATGGGCTTATGCTTCCCCTGAAGCCGCACTGAGCACATCGAGGCAATCTTTCCTGGAGGCTGCATTCGGGCGTCTATTAAGTACCAGGACCTTGCAAAGGTCGCCCACTGCTGTAAAAACAAAGAACATATAAGCCATATTAACACATTTCATCTAGTATATGAACCCAGAGAGCAGACTAATCATAGTGTACCAGGAAACTTCAATCTTAGCAGCACTGCACTGATTAATAGTCCGTTTCAGTATCAATGAATTCAGCAAATATCACTGTTTGTTTGTAGAGCTGTTCACGCTGAAGTTACAAGGAGTGTTTCAGCCCAGACTGCTTTTTTGAGCGGGAAACAGCCAATCTGCACAGAGCTCATTTACATACATCAGTCTTAAAGGCACAGTAACAGAAATAGCCTGTTTAATTATAAGGCAGAGGTATTCTAACCTATTAGGGTGTGAAGGAATTGCCAGGGAGGTCATGAGCTGCTTTTTATTTTATTTTAACGGATCCGCTGCTGAAAGAACGGATCCCACAGCACATAAATGACGGAATTCTTTAGCTCATAGCTCATCTGCTGCTGCAGAGTTTGTGTTGGTCATCCTCTAGTCCTTCACCAGTGGTCACAGGACGCTGCCCACAGGACGCTGCCCACAGGACGCTGCCCACAGGACGCTGTTGGCTGGATATTTTTGGTTGGTGGACTATTCTCAGTCCAGCAGCGACACTGAGGTGTTTAATAACACCAGCAGTACTGCTGTGTCTGATCCACTCAGACCAGCACAACACACACTAACATACCAACACCACGTCAGTGTTACTGCAGTGCTGTGAATGATCCACCACCCAAATAGTACCTGCTCTGTGAGGGTCCATGGGGGTCCTGACCACTGAAGAACAGGGTAAAAGGGGGCTAACAAAGTATCAGAGAAACAGATGGACTACAGTCTGTAACTGCAGAACTACAAAGTGCACCTATATAGTAAGTGGAGCTGATAAAATGGACAATGAGTGTAGAAATAAGCAGGTGGTCAGAATGTTATGCCTGATCAGTGTATAATCATATAACCTACATATCATATTTTTAAGAGTATTAGAGGGGTGAACCCCAACCTGTGCTGGCTTCTTATAAGAATTCTCCCTGGATTAAGCCTATTTTAGCCTGGCAGTACAGGTGCTGTCCAAACTAGTATGTTGTCTTGTCCAAAACAAATAAATATGGATCTCATTTTCAGGTCATTCCTCTCCACCTTAACCGGTCAACCTGATTCACAGCAGCACAATACACAACATAACAGCTCTAAAAAGCACATTTCTGACAACACAGCCATCCCGACAACACTACGAACTACAACACAACAGCGCTGTAATTGTACTGAACGCAGTTTAAAACATTTACCTGGGCAGATCTGGAAAAACTAGACATTGTTAGCCGTGCTAAGCTAACGCTACATCAGCCCGCACGTTTGACCCCAATGTGCTGTTTACGGTCCAACAGCATTGCTGTTCCTGAACGGAACTGCTGAAGAAAGAACAGTTCCCACAGCAACTACATGACGAAATTCTCTCTTTTATTGTGGGTATTTTTTTGTACCTTAGTCCTGTATTTATAGTACACATCATCTGTAAGCGGTGTAGTATTTTTATAAGCATTTAGCAGTAATAAAATCCCACATATGAGCGTTTTTCTCCTCTCTGGCAGGCCGCAGCGCGTCACTGCGGCGTCAGAGCTGGCGCTCAGCGCGGGAAATTTTGTTTGGTCTGAGCGAATTTTATTATTTTAACACTTTTAAACTTCTGTCAACGTAAAGATAAATCTGATATGGATCGATATTTGCTTGTGGTGGTGGTTAATCCGCAGCCGAAGAGAGAGGGATCCTGCAGCGGTAAGAAAAACACCCCGAGCCGCAGCTCTCTGTTGATGCTAACAAGCTAAATGTTAGCAAGCTAAGAGTCACCATAACAAGAGCGTATTTAATGTCAAATATGAGAGACAAATAAATGTTTTTCATGCTTAAATATGTTAATTAAAGTCTCAGTATTAACATAGTCTTGGGTCATATTTATTGAAAGTGGAAAAGTCGTGACATACAGGCAGTTTTCTGTGCACACACAGCAAAGTTCAGTCTCAAATACTACTAAATAAAAGTCTTTTTAACGTCAGATCTTTGACTCGTTCAAATATGTATCATGTAGATCCATTTCCACCTTAACACTGCGATGAATTTAATATAACTTCATATAAAACATTCATTTTTACGGAGCCCCGCTGGTGACATCCTGTGTAAATAAAAGTAATGCGTGGCCACGACTTAGTATGGTGTGGGAATGAGATGATTAAGTCGTGGCCACGACTTAGTAAAGCGTGGGAACGAGATCCTAATGCGTGTCCACGACTTAGTAAGCCGTGATCTTGTTTGCACGCCTTACTAAGTCATGGCCACGACTTAATCATCTCATTCCCACACCTTACTAAGTCGTGGCCATGCATTAGGATCTCGTTCCCACTTGTTAATGAGGCGTGGCCGCGCATTTTTTTATTTATACAGGATGTCACCAGCAGGGCTCTGTACATTTTTACGTAAAATATAACTTCTGAGTCACAAACCTAGCTCCTTAACCACAGAAGTAATGTCACCTTAAAGGGCAATTCCACCCATTTTTCAAAATCCCAGCATAATCTACTGGTTAAGATGTAAACAGAGTCGTTCAGAGTGGTTTGGTGTGGAACGCTCTGTTCTAGAGAAACTTACTGAGTCAGAACTGTTCACAGTGGTGGTGATAGGAACCAGACGTCCACCTCTAAAAGCTCCCTCACAGAAAGTTATTGTATAAAATTAGAGCTGGGCGATATGGCAAAAAATGTAATATCACAATAATTTAAGAAATGTTCACGATACACGATATGCCACAATATCTACATTTTTTCGCTTCTGATGATTTGGAATAGACAAAGTGTTGCCACATTTAAAAAATATTGTCAAAAACTAGTGATTTTAAAATTTCACACCTGTTCTGCACTAAATCAATTTTAACAGGACTAATTAAGCTGCTCTATTTCATCAAACATGCAGTTGTTCAGTTTTTTAAGTACTGGTGATATCCTCGATGTACTCAAAAAAAAAAGCATATTGTGATATAATATATCACGATAACGATTAATGTTGTCATATTGCCCAGCCCTACATAAAACGGTTATGAATACACCTTTATTTGTTTTACTTGTTTTAGGTCATTTTATTAAGTAAAATTATCTCACTGTACCGGCAGATAATTTTGCTGGTTTCAAGAACATTTTTTAAAATGAGCAAAATTATCTGCCAACATAGTGAGATAATTTTACTTAGTAAAGTAACACTGTGTATCTGGATACCGTATATTGTTAATACAGCATTAATTATGTTATTATCCAGCATAAAACGTGCAGTACTGTTCAGAAGGTTCACTGTTTTATAGGTAATACACTGCAAAATTGTTTATTGTCAAATGAAATGATCTTAAATTTCCCATTTTTTAGGTTGTTTTATTAAGTAAAATTATCTCACTATACTGGCAAATAGTTTTGCTGGTTTCAAGCACATTTTTTTACAACAAGCAAAATTATCTTACAATATAGTAAGATAATTTTGCTGAATTAATTTACTTAAAACAAGTCTAGAAATAAGTGAAATAATCTTAAATTGTGTTTATGCACCAATCTCAACAAGAGAAATATTAGATTTATCGACAATATTTAAGATAATTTTACTTGACAAGACACCATTTTTTGCAGTTTAAAAACCAAAATAAACAAATTGTGTCTTAGATAAATGTGTTAATGATCTCTAAGACAATTTCAGAGCATTTTTCTTTACAGAATCTGTTGTATTTCAGGGTTTGAGACGGCCAGAAAATTGTACGCCAGGCTTGAAGAGATTTCCAGCTCTGGTTGTTCGTCGCGGGTGTCGCCCTTTCCTGGTAAAATCAGTCTGTAAAGCTGATCTGTAACAGTGTCTGCTGTGGAAAAGCTCCATACAGACAAGTCTGAACTGAACTGAATCATCTGTGTTCTCCTTGTTTCCTCCACAGCCTGCTCTCTCAGTGGAAGTCCAGGCTTGCCGAAGTGCTACTTCGCTATTCAAGCCTCTTATGGCTCAGCACAGGTAACTTAACCACGTTTAAAGGGGAATTCCACCCATGTTTCAAAATTTCTGCTTGGTTAAATGTCATTCGGAGTGGTTTGGTGTGAAATGCTCTGCTCAGGAACAGCTCACAGTGGTGGTGATGGGAACCAGACGTAACTCCCTCACAGACGCAGGAAGCGAATCTGAATACGCAGCAATAGTTTTGAGAAGGCTGATTTATGATCCTCCGCTGGTTTGTTTTGATCAGTTCTGCAGTGTAGAGTGGGAGGAGGTGTGTGTCCAGCGCGGTGACAGTGAGGAGATGGTGTCCTCTGCAGTGGACAGCTGTATCAGCGCTGTGCAGGAACAGGAGGAGCAGAACCTGCAGTCCGAGACCAGCACACTTACAGAGTATGTAGATTATGCCAGAAACCACATAAATAAGTCTATTTGATATTTCTAACCAACTCCACACAGTTGAAGCTGGAGGTAGATTCCTATTTACCATCGTTTCAAGTGAAATGCTCTTAAATCCATTCAATATATCTAATATTTCACCCATCTAGCTGACACTCCCAAAACATGTATATATCCTTCAGCATTAATGGTGCCTTCACAGATGTGCACTAATGCCCCCCTAGACCATCATGAATACTGGCTTTTAAACTGTGCACTGATAACAAGCTGAGTGGTCTTTAGCCCGGAGGACACAGTGTCCATGATTTCCAAAAAGAATTTCAAATGTGGATTTGTCGGACCACAGGACACTTTTCCACTTCCTCTCAGTCCATTTTAATTGAGCTCAGGGCCCAGAGAAGGTGGCAGCGTTTCTGGATCCTGTATATTTATGGTTTCTTCTTTGCGTTTTAGAGTTTTAACTTGCGTTTGTGGATGCAGTGATGAACTGTTTTCACAGACAGTGGTTTTCAGAAGTGTTTCTGAGCCCATCCAGTGATTTCCACTACAGAATCATGTCTGTTTTTAATGCAGTGCTGTCTGAGGGCCCAAAGATCACGGCCAGCAAATACTGGTTTTTGTCCCTTACATACAGAGTCTTTTAATGATATTTTGTACTGTAGATGATGAAAAGCAGAAGTTCTTTGCTGTTTTATGTTGAGAAACGTTATTCTTGAATCGTTGCCCTATTTGATGGTGCAGTCTTTCACAGGGTGGTGAACCCCTCCTCATCTCTACTTCTGAAAGACTCCGCCTCTCTGAGATGCTCTTTATACCCAGTCATGTTACTGACCTGTTGCCAATCAACCACCAGGTGCTTTTTTTATCATTACACAACTTTACCAGTCTTTTGTTCCCCCGTCCCAACTTTTTTGGAACGTGTTGTTGGCATCAAATTCAAAATAGGCAAATATTTTTCAAAAAACAAAAAATTTCTCAGTTTCAATGTTTGATATGTAGTCTTTGTACTATTTTCAATTAAATATATGGTTTAAATGATTCACACATCATTGCATTTTGTTTTTATTTACATTTTGCACAGCGTCCCATTTGAAAATGGAGTTTTAGTTTTACCAGAGAATAATGTCTTTGTGAATAGACTGTGTGAAATACCGGATGTCAGTTCACCTTGACAGAACTGCATGGTCAGGAGTGGGACAGATGATTTAGAATTTTTTCCAGGAACAGGACTGAAGAAACAGAGACCTCCAGTCCTAACGGACAGTTCAAATACGACGATGGCAAATAGGGAATCCAGCTTCAGTTGGTGGGGTGTAAGCTCCCATTACTTGTTAGCTACATTAGCCTCGTAGCTCCAGTCCCAAAACTAAAGAAGCAAACTTCAGACCCTGAACACGTCTTGGCCGACTACATCTGGGGGGGTGGGGTGTGACTGTTCACCAAACTATCGCTTTAAGCCCAGACAGGGCAGAAAGATTCAGTTTGATTCAGCAAGCTGTGTTGATGACTGCACTGTTTGTCATGTATTCATGCCTCTTCCTTTGGTTTCTGTGCTCCTTCTAGGATGTTTGAAGAAGCAGCTGAAGCTCTTCATCAGCTGGCAGATAAACTCCCTCCCCCAGGTAATGATCTGTTTACATGCAGCCAGCCGTCATAACTGGAGGGGAGCTGTGAGACGTCGGCTTGATTTCCTCACTGTGATGAGATTAACCACAGCAAACTTGCCGTGCCTGAAAAAGACACTTTATTCGAATTATTATATTTAAATTATTCTGATATCCAACAGTATTAATTAAGGCTAACGTAAGAGCACATTACTCTGTACACTTGGAACTTTTCCTGTTTGTCTAATAAAAACACTTTCTTGTCACTTATCAACGAAACATCTGAGACATTGTCAGATATCCTTGTTTCCATCAAAATGGTTGGCAAGACTATCTAAGCTGAGTTTGGACATCAAATCTGTGTAAATAGTGACCGTCACCCAGCGCGACCCAAAAGTAGCGGGTGG